CTTATAATTAAGTTATTTCCCACCTATTGTTGTTTTCGATCCTTTTGTTTTCCTTTGTTAAATGGCTTGCTTTTTTCTTATTGGTTTGTTTTCTCTCTCCTCTACTATATAAACATCTCTCTTACTCTTACTTTCTATTGACTCCGACGAAGGACTAACGTCCGAAACGTCATTTACTATTTTCACTACGGTGTATAACTTATCATTCTACGATAACTGTTTTATTAGAAACACCGACGCAGTCCACGCTAGTGTTTACTAGCCATCATCTACCCGGGGGGGAAGGTCTAGTGGCCCACAGCAACACGGTACAAATTGGTCAGCCGTCTTGTTTTTGCAATTTCGCTGTCAAGATCGGCCATGAAAACTGTTATTCCACTGCTTAGAGATGTATAATGAAAGCTCTAACAGTTAAATGAACTGATAAATTCAGTAAATTAAAAACTTACTGAATAAAATGCGAAAAAATGATTCGCCCTACCAGAGGAGGGAAAGTGGTTCATGCTACGCGATAGAATAGTGGTTAGCGCTCTATCGACAGACTAACCACAAAAATTACTCCATGATAGCTAGAAACTAATGAATTTCACTATTTTATAATAAAATACAAGGTGAAAATAAATATGTTTTCATAAGCACTTTAAGGGCAGAGTGGAAGAACCTCTCACTTCTGGGGCTTCAGGTTTGATTCCTGGACTTGGCTTGAGTTTTTAATGTCTTTCCCTGATTAAAGGTTTCCATTTTTCAGCCGTGCTACCTACGTACAGCACAATTTGAAAAACGTGTTGCAAGACAAGTTGCAGCAATCGTGGCAAAAAGGAGAATTTGCTTTACTTTTGGTAACAATTTCATCTCCTTCGCATTGTGTTAACCCTCATGCAACTTGTGTCGCAACGCTGTTGTGAGACAAGTGGCAGAGAAAACTGCTTCGCTTCGTGTAATCGCAATGACAATGACAAGCTTTTCTTAATAACAACCAACAAGCTACATGTCGTTTCGTTATATCTCAAGAGATTTGGATTCCTGTGGTTCAAGTATAGACAGTTGGAAATTGTTGTTATTTTAGTGTTTGAGGTTGTAGAAATATGAAAAAACACTCAAATAAGGTAATACCCAGCGTTGTAGAGATTTCCTCTTTCTGTCCTCGGTAAGATGGGTAGAGACTAAATATTTCGACTAACCTTCATTTGGTAGCTTTTCGTTTTTCCATTCATCATCTATTATGTCCACTAACCTTCCGTTACGATGCGAATATGATAGCTCACTATCCTATAACAATAAAATAAGCGCTAAACTCCTATTTGATAAAGAAAAAGTACGAGAAAAATGATAAAAACGAAGAACCTACTTTTGACATTCTGAGTTTCTTTCCGCGCGAATCAAATACCAACAGGCGTTCCTAGTACACACAAGGAAACCCAACAACACTCTATCAAATAAGTTCTCAAGTCAAATAAAGAAGTGTTTCTTAATAATCTTAAATCTTTGATCTTAAAAGACTTATATCAAGGAGATAATAAATATAATTAAAATAAATTTAGAAGTGGTTTCAGAGAGAGAGAGAGAGAGAGAGAGAGAGAGAGAGAGAGAGAGAGAGAGAGAGAGCTTTACTGTCCCTACCCCTAAATGACATAATTTTGTCATGACAATATTCTCTAGCCTACCCCTGACAGTAACAAGGAATCGCCTTGCAACAAGAAGAAACAATGGCGGACGAACACAGTAATCCAGAAGTAGAGCAACTCAAGTGAGTATTTCCACCTTACTAGCTTCAAAAATATTAACTACTTTTAGTCATATGCCTTAATGAATAGCTAAAGAACACCTATGTTTATTTAATTTGGCAATTTTAGCTCGAATTGTTGTTTTTTAAAAGCCTTTTTGAGCGAGAAAGCCTGAAGTCGTTTACTATTCACGAGAACAGATGTTTCAGCGAAGATCATTTTAAAATGCAGCCAAAATGGCTGGCCTGTTTTGAACGTGGCTCTTTCGTATTGTTTAAAGCTTAGTGAATGCTTTACTGTTAGAGCTGTGGTTTTGACTCATTTAAGATTGAATCGAGTTCTAACTTCCTCTTCAATCTCTTTCGTATAAGACGAACAGCATTTTACAAAATTTGTGTTTATTCTACGACGTTTACCTTGTCAAAATGGCTTCAAATAAAAAATTATTATTGTTAAGAGTCTATAGCTTCGAAGAATAATGCGTATTTTGATCTACTGTGCCAGGAAATCTCAAAAATTATGGTTAATTGAGCTAAGAATAAGCTTACACTGTATCCGAGTTTATGGTAATAATACTGTACCTAAATTAGTATTATTTTACTCAAATCTTTCCTTTGTTCTCATCAAATATTTATTTCTGGTTTAAAAAATCCTTAATAAAAATTTTGGTGTTTGTTCTCAAAGTCCTGCATGTCTCAACTCGTATTATTGATTTTTCTTCAAAAAATTAATTTCCAAAAGCTTAAATTTGTACAACCTAAGACGATTATATATAGCAATTATTGCTTTACTGCTGCGTGTAAAGAGATTTTTAATTCATGTATATTTAGAGTATATTCAGTATTGCTTATGCTAAAGATAGATCGATGTCTTTTTTTTTAATCCTTCATGTTTAAATATATAGCAGTTGCTTCTAATTGGTTCTGCTCCATTCTTTATTGATAAGTTATATTACCTAACATATATAAGTCATAACAATTTTGAATCTTTCATCAGAAATCATATTGCTGCATGTTTGATCAGCAGTTGAGTTAATTTTGCTCTTCATTCCGACATTCATTCGATTTCTGACAGGATGTTCCTGTATCTTGAAGCAATTTTGCATTGTTAGACATACATTTGCATATATTGGCTTTCATTTTGCCTTAGAAATATCCGTTTGAGGTCAGACTTTTTATTAATGGTTGCCTTCCAATTCTCTTACACTATAAGAGATTTCATTATTTGATCATTTTATACTACAAATTAAACAAAATGAAATCGTTAAACAATGTCCTACATTAAAGACCTGAGGTAAGAATGGTAATCCTGACTTCTTTTTGAGAAGAAAAAGAATGTTTATTAAACTTTGCTAAAATTAGGTTATTTTTAGACATTTTTGCCAAATTTTTTAACAAGCTTCTCGATTTTAATCTTAAGTTTTGATAAAAAAATTGAAATTTTAAATATAAACAAAATAATATTATTGATATAAAACAGTACATAAAGCATTGGATCTATACTTTATTATATTGATATTATATGTATGCATATTTATCTATGTACAGAATTATAAGTATTACTAGGTTAAACGCTGTAGGGGATTGCTTAAACTATTTGTGTTAGAAGTCTGAAGTGTGTCTGGTGGATGTGAAAGGACCACAAGGGGATGGGCTGTTTTGCTAATAGCCACTACATGTTCAAGTCTTAGGTTGAGCACTTTTAGTTTTCTACATACTAGACTGTTGACTGTTATATTTTCAAATCTAAGCCATCTGCTTTCAAGAGTGCTCCTTGCATTGATATATCATTGACAATAGTCACTATTAGAAGGTCAGATATGGCCTATTATGGCAGCACTATTTAACTGTTATTCACCAAAGGTGTAGTGATTAATCAGTTTGGTAAATATTTACTATACAGTCACATAATTTATTATACACATAATCATCTCAAGGGAAATGGTTAGTTTTGTTTTCCCAAGAGTCTCTATGTTTCCCTATACTAGGCGAAGCTGATCTGTGAGCTAGCTATGCCCTGACTTAGATCAGTCCGGTAATCGTGTATTTCATGACCAGCCAACACATGTCAGTCGACTATCGCCCGACTGTTGGTCGTCTGTGTTGGCCGGCTATCAGCCGTGTGTTGGCCGTGTGTCGGCCGACCATCGGCCAACACACGATCAACAGTTTTGATACTTCTTCAGGTTTTGTTGTCAGTCGATGCACGTCCAACGCACGACCAACAGTGGGCCAATTATCGGTAAAGTGTTGGTGAAGTGTCGATAATTTTTAAAGAACAGTAATCGTGAACACTAATCAGTGATCAGTAATGATGATTTTTTAAAGAACAGGATTAAGATATAATGGAGCAGTAATAAGCTTGTGGGAAAAGTTTTATGTGATTTTATGTGATTCGTACTCACCAGATAGTGATAACGTCGGATAACCTTCTAAAATTTTTAAAGAACTTTCTTTTGAAGTGTTTTATTTATCATTTTAACCAAAAACATGTTTCAAGAAAAATCTGGAAAAATCGTTAAAAACTTTTGTTCTTTTAATTCAAGTCTTTGTTTTTATAAGTCGATGAAAGATTAAAGATTTGATAATGGAGTGTTGGTGAAGTGACGGTCAAGTGTTGGCCAACACGGCCAATAGTTGGGCAACTGTCGACCAACAGTCGGGCGATAATCGACCGACACGTGTCGGCTGGTCATGAAGTACACGATTACCGATCAGTCCAGAGGTTGTTTCAAGGTTTGATCTGTGTGTCAGTGGCAACAGTGCCCTGCACAGTTATGGGTGGCATGGCTTTAGTCGTTTACCTTTCACTTCTCACCACTGTGGTCCAGGTTCAAGCCTGGATCATATGTGAGTTGAGTTTGTTTGATGTGTCGTTCTCTCCCTTGCCACGAGGGTTTTCTCTAGGTTCTCCGGTTTCCTTCCTTAGTAAAAATCAAAATGTGAGTTGAGTGTTGTTTGCTGTGAATATAGAATGTAGTGGTAGTGCGTGCGGAGGGAGCCTCATGGAAGAGCCCCGTTCAAAGAGTGATTGTTGTAAAATATAAGTTATAACATTATAGTTCAGCTCAGGGGTTAAATTGCTTCAGAGTTTGATCTGTGAGTTAGCTGCGGGTGTGCCCTGACTTACATCAGTCCAGAGGTTGTTTTAGGGTTTGTTCTCTGTGAGTAAGCCATGGTTGTGTGTTGACCTACAATAGATCAGCTCAGAAATTGCTAAAGGGTTTTATCTGTGAGTTAGCTGCTGCAGTGTCCTGAATTAATTGTTTCTGGGGGTTCAATCTGTAAGTTAGCCATTCCCTGAAGTTAGCCCAGAGGTTGTTTCTGGGTTGAAACTGCTGGTTAGCCATGTCATGACTTAGATCAGTGCAGAGGTTGTTTAAGGCTTGAAACTGCTGGTTAGCCATGTCGTGACTTAGATCAGTGCAGAGGTTGTTTAAGGCTTGAAATTGCTGGTTAGCCATGTCGTGACTTAAATCAGTGCAGAGGTTGTTTAAGGCTTGAAACTGCTGGTTAGCCATGTCGTGACTTAGATCAGTGCAGAGGTTGTTTCTGGGTTGAAACTGCTGGTTAGCCATGTCATGACTTAGATCAGCGCAGAGGTTGTTTCAGGGTTTCATAACATTGAAGTTTGGTTTAAAGCTGTAGAACACTGAGAACACTACTTGATATTGTTACAAAGCATTATATATCAGGCTCTCAACATTTAGAAAAAAATAAGCTGTGGCATATTAACAGACTGGATCATTTTATCTCTGCAATGGAATTTAGAATTTTATTCATTTATTGGTTTTTTTAAGTCAAAAAACCTGGTAGACCTGGAAAAAACCCTCAAAATTTAGGAGAGAACCAATAATTAAGTAGCTCTACTCATACACCTAATTCAAAAAACATTGCCATCGCCAAAGGCGATAGGTCATTCCGACATGGAAATGGTTTTGTTGAATGCAAAAGGTTCATACTCTTGAAGAGAAGAAGAAGAAGAAACACAAGTCATTCCAGCTATTCTTGGATCTTGAAATGACATAAATTATATCCTCTCGCTTTATACAGTCTTTCTTATTTATCTTTGTGAGAATTTTGTTGAAAGAGATATAAATTATATTATTTTCGTCAAGCTACTATAATTTTTCCAGTCGGGATTCAAACCTTAGACCTTCTGTTGGATAGTATATACATAGTATATAAAATACACATAATTGTATATAGTTTATTTTTTAGATATTGTATTATTTTGTTTTATACATACGCACGACCCCACAAGCTTCATAGCTTTAATTTTTAAATCCTGTTTAAATAAAGTTAATGTATATATGTATTTATGTATGACAGATGCTCTAACTGTCAAGCTACTTAATTTAATTATGCTACTTAATTATGTTTTGTCAAGATAATTTTTCTGTTAATCAAAATAATATGATCATCCGGGTGGATGTAGTCCTGAGAAGGACTCTGTTTGATGTGACTGACGTTTCAACAAGTTACTTTTATTCTTCACTTGACTCTGAAGATGACTTTCGCTCAGGTTGTCGAAACGTCAGTCACATCAAAACAGTCCTTCTCAGGACTACATCCACCCGGATGATCATATTACTTCAATTAACATTCATTCACCTGGGTTCAGACTGTTCTATACAATAATTTTTCTCGTAAAAAATTCTGAGAAAAATCAGCTTGTACAGTGTAGCATAGTTTACACATTAACTAATTTACCAAGGATAAAATCTTGTAATGTTCATGTAATTATTGTTTGATCATAGCTGGTATCATGGTCCTATAACAAGACATCATGCTGAAGCTCTACTTATGTCAAATGGAGTTGATGGTAGCTATTTACTGAGAGACAGTGCTACATCCAAAGGAGAGTACTCACTGTCCTGCAGGTAATGTGATTATTGATGTGAAAAAAATGAATAAATGAAAGCAAGAATGAATGAATGAATAGACTAATGAATTTATTACTTAATAATAATAATTATTATTATAAATAATAAATAACTTTATTGACAATAATAATTAACTAATAATTCATTATAATATGAGACGTGATAAGAATATTGCTATAATTATAAAACAAAAAAGGAGAGATTATGAATATAAAATAACA